TTATTATAGACACACGCATTTCCAAACATTTGGACTACCTATGTTGTAAATGTATTATTTTTTCAATTTACACACGGCATCTATTGCACGTCTGTCTGTCCTGGGAGAGGGATCCCTCCTCTGTTGCTCTCCCTGAGGTTTCTCCCATTTTTCCCTTTAAACTGTGGGTTTTCTCTGGAAGTGTTTTCTTGTACGATGTGAGGGTATAAGGACAGAGGGTGTCGTATTGTCATACTGATATTCTGTACAAACTGTGAAGTCCACTGAGACAAATGTAACATTTGTGATATTGGGCTATATAAATAAACATTGATTGATTGATTTAAAGTTGTGACCCGATGGTGTCGCCCGCTGCACACATTTAACTCGTTGCATTTTATTGATTTATTTTGCCTTTTATACCACACTGCAAGTCTGATATTTATTAATGAGACGACTGGAAGTTACACTGCAGATTTAAACACTTATAAACACAGCTGAAGTCTTTCACAGCCAGAAATATTTCTCTGTGTCACCTTGTTTATTATCTTGCCTTTTTTTTCACAGCTAGAAATAATAGTGAAAAAATGGATCCACTCCTCGAGCAGAGGACCTGTCTGACATGCCCTGGCCTAATCGCGGGGGCTGATCCACACCGCCTGTGTTTCCTGTGCCTGGGGCCGGACCACTCCGAGGACGGCCTAAGCCAGTCGCTGGCCTGCAACGCCTGCCGAATGATCCCTCGTATTAGGGAAGTGAAAAAGACTCATGTACATTCTGTGGACTTTTACATTAGTAATGGTATATGTCTATGTGTTGTACAACAATGTACAATACAGAGACATATACCATAGAAATTAAAGTACATTAGTTGGACATTAAGCACTTTAATTTGTATGTATATGTATGTGTATTGTACAACAGTGTACAATACAGAGACATATACCATACAAATTAAAGTGCTTAATGTCCAATTTTTAAAACGTCTTTTTTGATTATTTTAAGATATAATTAACCGTTTTCTTCACTTTGTTCTTCTTTCCACGGATGGGTGAGCCTGGCTGGCCGCCTATGAGCACCCACATTTGGCCTGGAACCTCCAGGATTTGTGTACTAAGCTCCATAAACTGACAAAATCACCCAGAAATGTAACTTTCCTAGCCCAAAGATATATAATACAAATACATTTAAATAGTAAAAGGTACAATTGTGCTCCGAATTACCCGGAGGCGGATTTATATAGCTCCATGATAGTGATTTAAAATAATTTTCATGGAAAAAAGTGTTAAAATGCCTGATTAAAGCATATACAGGACCCCAGTGAGCTCCAGAGTATGTGCATTGTTTCTGGGAACCATATTAATGATAAAATAAATGCATAAATAGAGACAGAGTGTATCCAGAGAGCAGGCTGCAGCACCTGACTTTTCAACCCAGGAAACGGGTTTGAAAGGCGGGGAAAAGTGTTTTTAAACGTCTGGACGAGTGTTTTAGCATGTCCAATTGGAGGAGTTTTTTTTAACATTGAAACTGTCCCTGGAATGTACAAAATTGTACATTTCAGGGACAGTTTCAACGTTAAAACATTTCCTCCAATTGGACATAAATCAGAATGCAGCACCGGACTTTCTGAGCCAGGAAAAGGGTTTAAAAGTCCGGGGAAAGTGTTCCAAATGCCAGGGAAAGTGTCTGAAATAGGGGCAAAGTATCAGTTTCAGCAGAGAGCCTCAGCTAATTTCTCAAGAATGTACCCAGAGAACAGGCTGCATCACAGCACTTGACAAGGCAGGAACAGTGTTGGAATCATGGGTAGAAATTGTTTAAAATGTTGTGGAAACTTGTTTTAAATAGGAGCAAAGTGTTGGTTCCATCAGATAGATAGATAGATAGATCGTACTTTATTGATCCCAAATTGGGAAATTGTTTTTGTTACAGCAGCATAAAAGGCATTTTACAATAAAACAAAATATACAAGAATAGAAATAAAATAAAATAAAATATAAAATATAAAATATACATGTCAAAATACAAAATAGAAAATATACATACAGATATTATATATATATATACAAATATATATATATTCAAAATATATGGAATTATGGAGTATTAAATATGAAACAGATTATGTGTGAGTAAAATGTACAACGTGGTTTTATTTCTAGAGAAACTATGGAGCAGAGAGTTCTCTTCCAGCCAGAGGTGATTTGTTGTACAGTGTTATTGCAGTGGGCAGGAATGTTTTCCAGTATCTGTCCTTGTGACAGGGGAGCTGCAGCAGTCTGTTGGAGAAGGAGCTCCGTTGACTGTCCAGCTGCAGGTGGAGAGGATGGGTGGGGTTATCCATGATGGACAACAGCCTGTTCAGTGTCCTCCTCTCCACCACAGCTTCAAAGGGGTCCAGCTTGATGCCGATGACTGACCCAGCTTTCCTGATCAGTTTATTGATCCTGCCGGTGTCACCGGCTCTGATGCTGCCCCCCCAGCAGACCGCAGCAAAGAAGAGTGCACTAGCCACAACAGACTGATAGAAGATCTCCAGCATCTTACTGCATACGTTGAAGGATCTCAGCTTCCTCAGAAAATAGAGTCGGCTCATCCCCTTCTTGTACACAGCGTCAGTGTTGATCCTCCAGTTCAGCCCATTGTCTAAGTGCACTCCCAGGTACTTGTAGTCCTCCACAACAGCCACATCCTCTCCCAGAATGCACAGGGGCAGAGGAGGAGATGTCCTCTTCCTCCTGAAATCAATGACCATCTCTCTGGTCTTGGCCACATTCAAAAGCAGATGATTTCTTCCAGTCCACTCTACAAAATCACCCACCAGCGCTCTGTACTCCTCCTCCCGTCCATCCCTTATACACCCTACCACTGCAGAGTCATCCGAAAACTTCTGCAGGTGGCATGACTCTGAGTTGTATAGAAAGTCAGAGGTGTATAAGGTGAACAGGAAAGGAGACAGCACAGTCCCCTGTGGGGCTCCAATACTACCAACCACCACATCAGACAGCACACTGCCCAGCCGGACGTACTGTGGTCTGTCCGTGAGGTAGTTGGTAATCCAGGAGATGGTGGACGAGTTTACCCTCATAGCCTGCAGCTTGTCACTCAGTAGCCGAGGCTGGATCGTGTTGAATGCACTGGAGAAATCAAAAAAGGTGATTCTCACAGTGCAACCCGATCCATTCAGGTATGAGTGAGCATGCTGCAGCAGGTAAATAATGGCATCATCCACCCCCAGGTGAGGCTGGTAGGCAAATTGCAGAGGGTCAAGGAATGATCTCACCTGCAGTCTGAGATGGGCCAAGACCAGTCTCTCAAGCACCTTCATCACATGAGATGTGAGTGCTACAGGGCGATAGTCATTGAGCCCAGAAGGAGTTGTCTTTTTAGGGACCGGAACAACGCAGGATGTCTTCCACAGCACCGGGATGGTCTCCAGGTGCAGGCTCAGGTTGAAGAGATACTGGAGAACAGGAGCCAGCTGGCGTGCACAGGTCCTCAGGACCCTGGGGCTGATACCATCAGGGCCAGCAGCCTTGCCTTGGTGGAGTTTTTCCATCTGACTCTGGACCTGTCCTGTGCTCACAGTGAAGCGGGGGGGGGGGCTTGATGGCAGGGGGGATAGAGGGGTGGGGGTCTGAGGCAAGATGAGCAGAGGGGGGGGGGTCAGCGGCAATGTGAGCAGAGTGGGGGTGCAGAAGCCAGGCTGGGTGGTGGAGGAGAGGAGAGAAGTGTAGGTGGTGAGCAGAGGGGGGATGTTGACGCCAGGCTGAGAGGAGGAGGTGAGGTGAGAAGTGGAGGTGGAGGAGACAGCAGCGGGCGGAGAGCTAACTAATTTCTCAAGAATGTACCCAGAGAACAGGCTGCATCACAGCACTTGACAAGCCAGGAAAGGTGTTTGAATCCTGGGTAAACATTCAAATAGTGGGACACTTCCAGGGCGCATCACAGCACTTTACAAGCCAGGAAAGGAGTTTGAATCATGGGTAAACATTGTTTAAAGGTCCCATGTCATACTTTTCCGGTTGTTACCCTTGTGTGTTATGAAGGTTTTTATGCATGTAAACGGTCTGCAGAGTCAAAAACCCTCAAAGTACAACCTGTAGTGAGTACAACTCGCACACAGAGAAAACCTCCCCAAAACGCCTCGTTGGAGATTTCTCATTTTCTTCCTGGGTATCGCTACGTAGGGATACCCAGTAGCCACGCCCAGAGCTATGGCTGCACCCTCTGCCAGCCTTTCACGAAACAAAGCTTCCCAAACCTTTCAGCGATTCATGCCGGATATGTACAGCGTAGGGCACTGAAGAACGATGCTGTTCTTACTTTGTTTGGACCAGCGGGAGATTCAGGTACACAACCTCTAAGTATTCATTGTTGTTTGTGTATTTATGGTGAGACGAGTGAACCAACACTTAAAATCTCCGGAATTAAAACAGTTTAATCGAGTTTGAGCACTAATATACCCATATCTTTCACACTTTAGCGGGGTAAACATGTTATCTTTTCACTCTGGGTGTGTGGGACAAGTGAAACCACACTTAAAACCTCCGGAATTAAAACATTATAATCGAGTTTGAGCACTAATATACCCATGTTTTTAACACTTTAGCGGGGTAAACATGTTATCTTTTCACCCTGGGTCTATGGGTCTCTGAGACCCTGCGTTACTGGAGCAGGTAAAGCATACAACAGATACTTTCAGCATTATCGGAGCACAAAGTGGAAGCTTGGATGAAACACAGCAGACTTCTAAACAATGAACTCCCGCAACTTAGAAGAAATAAAGTTGGGTTTTATGCGTTCTAATATTGCAATGCAAACCCATGATGTAATGACAGTCATTAGCCGCGTTCACACCGGAGTACTTTTCACCGTACTTTTCGCGTTTGGTTCCGTTAGTACCTCTTATGTCGCGTTCACACCAAAAATCGTACTTAATCTCGGGAACTTTTACCCCCATTTTTAGAGCCTGCTGAGAGATCGTACTTTCCTGTGGGTAAAAAGTGCCCCAGTGCTGATTGGCTGGGCGAATTGCAAACCACGCCCCGTACAACTGTGAAAATGTTTTGTAGAGCCGCCATTGTTTTTGCTCGCTACAAAACCCCAGCGCACCGACGGAGATAGTAGACGGAGAGAGTAGTTTGTTTTTTAACGCAGTTAAGTTATGGCAAACATCAGGAAATCGGAGCGATGGAGTGATGAGGAGGTATCAGCGCTTCTGGACATCTACGCCGAGGACGCGACGCAGGGAATGCTGCTGAAGCCAGTACCCAATTCGAAGATGTTCAATCGTTGTTCTAACTTGTTGCTTGAGATGGGAATCGTGCACAGCGCCATGGCATGCCGGCTGAAAATAAAGAAACTCCACCAGGACTACAAAAAAACTAAAGACTGTAACAATAAAAGTGGTAACGACCGGAGGACCACTAAATGGTTCGACCGCTTGGATGTTTTGCTAGGCCACAGACCATCATTCACAGGTACAGCATCGAGCCTTGATTCGGGCAGTATGGCATCGGAGGCCGCTCCAACGGCGAATTTAGAGGGCGACCACGACGAAGGTAAAAGCAACTACATGCACTGGGGTTTTAATCTGCACAATAATGGTCTCAGATGTACTTTTATTTGCTCAGTAGATCAAGCTAGCCATGCTAGGCTGAACTAGCTAACACTGGCCCCGAGCTGGCTAATAACATCTAGCTAGCTAGATATTCTCGGCCGCTATTAAAACGTTTTGACTAGTGAATAACTGTGCAGTGTTTCTGTAATTTGCTTCACTAACTCATGGAACTAATCATGTGTTTCAGGCGAGGAAAATCAGCAACACTCGGGATTGGAAACAAGCGAGCTTGGCGTTGGAGATCAGAGCGCTTGCTCGTCTCCCTTACCGGCAACCAAACGCAAAGGTACACACACTGTAACTTTGTCTTGAAAGAACGTTACGCATGGAACTGATGTTCACAATCATGTTTATTTCCTTCTTGGTACAATTATGAAACAGCGTGAAAACGTATTCGCCTAGACCGGCATTTACAAATTTTCGCGCCTTTTTACTCTCACACAAACATTGTAAACATCCGGGCTAGAGGTCACATGACTTCCGGTAAGAAATCGCTTCCACTTGGAGCATATATCGCCACCTACTGTTGATTTATTAAATCCTTGTCCTCAGACCAGTGCTTTTGAAGAATTTGAAGATCAGCTTGTTTGCTTCATTTCTTGATTTACTTTCATATATTGACTTGAAATCCATGTCCTTGATGTTGAGTTGTTCCAGTGCAGTTATCAGAATGAGTCTTTGTCTGTTATAATCCAGGCAGCTAAAAAATACATGATGTATTGTCTCTGGTTGTTGATCTTGTATCTTGCTTATTTCCCCTCTTAGGAAAGCGGACACAGGATGCACTTTTCTTCGAGACCGTCCAGGCGTTGGAGGACCGGCGTGCCGTGGTGAATGAGTCGCTGCGCGGAGATCAGATGGTGCAGTTCACCCAGGCCCAGGAAACGGAGGCCAAAATGCTCACCTCGATGGAGCGCCAGGCAGAACTGTTCCAGCAGCAGATGGAGCGCCAGCGGCACCAGGATGAAGTGTGGGCGCTGCGCCATGAGGAAGCGTCGGCGCAGCGCGAGCGGTGCCAGGAGCTGCGCCAGGAGCGGCAGGATGAGCGACAAGCTGCATTTAACACTGGGTTTCTGGAAGTGCTTTCCCAGCTAGTGACAGCCAACAGGTCTTCCTCCCTTTAGTGGCCACTGTTAATGTCTGCTGCTGAGCCTATGCCTAGTTTAGTTTATTTGGTATAGTTTTTGTAAATACTGACACACGACACACAACTTTGCACAAAGGTGTGTATGCTGCTGAGACTATCCCCACACCTGGGACCGTTTTATTTTATATTGTTATTACTGTTATCACTTTATTTTATATATAATGTTTACTGACATGTCCAACTGACACTTTATTTACATTACAAATTGTTCTATTTCATGTTATGTCTTGAGAGTGCAGTAAAGAAAACCGACATGGCGATTGAACAGATCCTGTATCTTTATCTTTTGTGACCTGTGTAGCATCCTATACATCACATGTAAGTGATTATTCTAATACCATCATGTTTCATCGGTTATAAACTGGCAAAGCTTTATTTGTCATTTATTTATCATCAATGTTGCAACCTTGTGGAGGAATGGCAGCGGCACATACACAAATATGATAATTTATATAATTTTAAATATTTGACCTAAACTTTTAATTCCCCCCCATTTCACACAACACAACATGGAGTCCACTATGGGCCAAAAATAACATGTATGTTTCCATTTTTTATGTTTTTATTTCCAAAATGAAACCATAAAAAAACTAGGGTTGTGAATGCTAGGTTAGTATCATCATAGGGCAAAATAAAGACTTTGATGCACCAAATGAAACTAGGGGTAGATGGTGACTTAGTTTGAATACAGTCACGTCACGTTCAAAATGGCCCATGTAAAAAGTAAAGTGCTCAAAAGCAGCTAGTTTACTATGAATTCAAGTTTACATTAAAAAGCAGAACAATTATCAATACATTTCTGAAGTTATTTACCGATTTCTACATTCCCCTCGTCTCCGTTTTCAAGATTTGTTGACAGCAGAGCCGTATAATAGAAGAGTTACGACATAAACATTGTTCTATTTCATGTTATGTCTTGAGAGTGCAATAAAGAAAACCGACATGGCGATTAAACAGATCCTTATTTTATATTGTTATTACTGTTATTATATAGTACAACTGACACTTTATTTTATATTGACAATGTTTACTGACATGTACAACTGACACTTTAGTTACTAACATGTATGTTAGTTTTGGCTAACTATTACACTATTGTAATGTTGCCCTGTCTTGACTGCAAAAATGAAAGAGAGAAACAAAGCAACTGTACAAATGATCAGCTTTATTGTCATGTTTACATTTATTGTTTACATGTACAATTTATACGCTGTTCAGATGCCTCATAAGGGCTGTGCGTGTGTTGCCTTGGCCCCCCAGCCTCGGCAATGGCTGGGCGCTGGCCCATAAAGCTGGGTCGCCGGTAAGGCAGTCCATTCGTTCCCTGTACTCATCATTACTTTCACAAAGGTTATGTAATATGCAACATGCTGCCACCTGGATTTTGATCTTGTCCCATCTTGGCAGTAGTTTCTTTTCATCAAGCACCGCCACCTGCCCTTCAATCTGCCAAAAGCGTTCTCCACTCGTGCTCTGCTTGTTTTGTGATTGTACACAAGTTGCTCGGGTGTGAGCCTTCCTTGGAAAGGTTCATCAGCCATCTTTGCAGGGTGTAGGCTGAGTCACCAAGGATATAGTAACCACATCATGTCCACCAATATTCTTTGTTACATGAGGAAGTAGACCACCCTTATCCGCAAAACTACAGTGATGACATGCCAAACACTCTGCTATCATGCATGCTACCTGGTAAGCCAACAAAAACATTCCAAAAGAGGCCTCTACCATCCACAACACCCTGCAGACGAGCGAGTGCCAGCCTTTGCGGTTGAAATACTCGTTGTGGTATCCTCTGGTCTCAGAATGGGGATGGGTGATCCATCTACTGCACCTACACACTGGCACACCCCATCTGCGCTCAAAAATAACGCCATCCTCCTCTAACTTCTCAGCGTTCGGCCATGGCATGAACTCACAAAGGAGTATGCTCACAACAGAGGAGCAGAACTCGTGCACACAGTAACACACTGTTGATCTGCCGACTCCAAACAAATGAGAGATGGTCCTGTACTCAGAGTTGGTCGCAAGTTTCCACAGTGCTATGGCGATTTTTTTAGCCACAGGGACACACTCCCGGAAGTTGGTGTCGCTTCTCCCCCAACGTTGCTTCCAGGCGACTACAGAGGTATTGGAAAGAGTGCTTGGACATTCGGAAATCTGGATCCACTGCACATCGGTGTACGTTGGCACCACGTTCTCCCACCAGGCCGAGGGTTCTATGTGTTCCACCAAGAGAGAGCGCGGGACACGACGCGTCCCGTAGTATTTGCATATCTGGAACACATACAAAGGCGCAATTAGCTCTACATAACTCCATAAATCCTACATTAGATAGTATTAATAATTTACTGAACTTACATTGCTGTTCTTAGGGCGTGAAAACGCTCAATCGTCATCAGCCATCCTACGGTGAAACATGGCAGTCATGTGTGCTTTCCGTCGGCCAATCCTTTTCCTAAGGCTTTTAAACTGCCTTTGATGCTGAAGAAACTTTGCGATTATAGCATTCGACGTGTGGCGGCTCCGGATTTGTGTCGGACGCCTAATAGGCTCAGGCTCTGGCTCAGGCCGCATTAACGAAGTTACAAAGCTGTATAACATGAGCACAAACAGCACAACTTCAGTCGACTCCATCTCCATCATGTCTGAGGTCGGAAGGTAAACAACAGACAGTTATAACGCGGAAGTTTTTCTTCTTCTTGTCTTGTTTTGTAGCGGATTGCAAACAACTTTAAGGTGCATACCGCCACCTACTGTACTCGCCGTGAAGTGGTTTGTGGCCTGCCAGTAAAGCCAACGCAGAAGAAGAAGAAGTGACGTCAGCGGCTCATTTGCGTAATCTTCCCTCAGGGAAAAGTACTCCGGTGTGAACGCGATCTGTACTAAGTGCCCTGGGGTTAAAAGCGCCGGGGCTCTTAGTGCCGGAACTAAGTACAGGAAAGTACTTGGTGTGAACGCGGCTATTAAGAATAATTTAGTCATTGAATACTAATTTCAGTAAATTTAATCAAACAAAACATAAACATATTGGACATGGACTCAAGACTGTAACCTCTTCACATTCTGTTGAAATAGTCAATTACTAGCAATATCTTGCACTCTGCTGTTTTGAATCATTAATATGTGGATCCAGTTGAACTGGATGATGTAACATTTATGCCATCTGCTGGAAAGAAGACTTATTGCTCTGTTGGCGTTGTTTGGACAACAAAAACAGAATGAAGCTCTCATTTCATAAACAATCTTTGAGTACAGACCCCGTCCTGCAGAGAGCACACAACCCAACAGCACGTCTTTGGTCTAGCATCACTTTACAAAACGTTTGCATTAAGACACTAAGACTAGCTGGTCCATTGTAAAGGTCAGTCTACCTTAAATGAGCAGTGGGTGATCAGCAGGTGAAAGGCAGGACACGGGAACTTGGTCCTGAGGACATGTAACGATTATTAAACAAGAAATAGTCGAGTCAAGGGGTCAAAGAAATGAACATTTGTGATTATTAGCTAATCGGTTGCAGGTGGGTGAAATCAGGCTTAGGGAGTAACGTATTACATGTAACGGCATCAGGTCATCAGGATACAAAATAGGCAAATGTATTCCCTTACAGTTACAGAAGCAAAAACAAATCAGATAACAGGTACATTTATGTAAAACAGGCTCATTAACAGGATAGCAATGATACAAAACATCTAGAAATAAAGAACAATACATCAAATCATCCTATATCTCTATATGGACACTTGGAGCCCTCAATGCAAAATAAAATGGTTCATCAACAGTCAGTGGTTAACGTATACATCAGAAAATCAGTATGACAAAAACATTAAACATATTGTCCACTTATGTTGATAAAGATGGAGTTCACTTAAGTCTTATATGAATGTTGTGCAACAATGTTAATCCAGTCAGACAGATTTTTCTCATGTGTGAACTGTCATAAGACTTATTCATTGTCCTCCTCCATCAGCTCTGTTTCCATGTGTTCAGCTGAGCTGCTGATTGGAGGCTCTGCCTCTCCGTCATCCTGTTTGAATTTCATTAAGCTGTGAGGACTGACGACCAACACACTTGTGTGTATTTAAATTACTACGCCATTTAAATCTTCTGTCACAAACATTGCAGCTGTATATTTTCTCTCCTGTGTGGACTTCATGTGTGCCTTTAAATTTCCATTCAATGCAAAAGATTTGGTACAAACTGAGCAGCAAATGGTTTCTCTCCTGTGTGGATTCTCATGTGTCGTTTACATCTCTATTCTCTGCAAAAGCTTCTTACAGACTGAGCATCTGTATGGTTCCCTCCTGTGTGGATTCTCATGTGTTTTCTTAAACTTGTCACTAAATGCAAAAGATTTGGTACAAAATGAGCAGCTAAAGGGTTTCTCTCCTGTGTGGATTCTCATGTGTTTTTCTAAAGTTTGATTTAATGCAAAAGATTTCGTACACACAGAGCAGCCAAATTGTTTCTTTTCAGCACTACGGCTTGAATCACTGATAGATTCTTGTCTATTTTTCAGTGATTTTGAGGCTGAAGCAGATTCTCTGGTCTCCTTCCAATCAGCACTGTGTTTCAGTGTCAGGTTCAGAAGAGTCTCCGTGTGAGGTTCAGAAGAGTCTCCAATGTGAGGTTCAGAAGAGTCTCCAGTGTCAGGTTCAGAAGAGTCTCCAGTGTCAGGTTCAGAAGAGTCTCCAGTGTCAGGTTCAAGAAAGAGTCTCCAGTGGCGTACTCAGTCTTGGTTGTAAACTGCTCTCTGGATCTGAGTGTCCTGCTGGTTCTGGTCCTCGACAGTCATCCTTCCATCAGCCTTCTGTTTCCATGTGTTCAGTTTGTCTTGATGAGGCTGTGAGGACTGAGGTTTCTCTTCATCATCTTCACTCTTCACAGGGTCAGGAGTGAAGTGGACTTGGTGATTAATCAGCCTCCTCCAGCTCCTGAAGCCTGCTCTCCCTCCTGACTGATCCTGATTCCTCCTGTTCTTGCTTAAGTGTGGGGGGGGCTCTGGGTCCTCCTGGTCAGACTGGTGCTCAATCCTGCTGGTCAGGGAGAACCTCTTCTTTAAACACCACAGCTGCTGGACATCTGCAGAAACAGGAAACACTCAAGTTAGAAAAAACTGTTTAAGTGTTAGCATTTACAAATCTAATCACCATTACAATGGAGAAATTGGTGCAGCTCTAATTAATGCCTTTGTTTTATAATTTCATATTATCTTTCTTAGTCCCACCGATTGAGTATTTTTGTTGTCTCAATTCACCTTCTGCACGCCCTCTCCACTTTCCAGTTTAGCACTAGCTCTAATGTAAACAAGGAATTGTATTTTGGCATCGTTCACAGATACACTATGCCTATAGAATGAAAATACTCCGTTACAAATTAAAATCCTGCATTCAAACCTTATTTAAGTAAACGTTCGCAAGTATTAACAGAAAAATGTACAGCACTTTCTTATGTAAAAGTAATGATACTGCAATAACATTTTCACGGGGGCAAAACGCAACATCTTGCCAAGAAACAGCGTCTGAGGGCTTCTTAACATTTTAAAGGTCCCATTTCATGCTTTTCCGGTTATTACCCGTCTCCTTGTGTGTTATGTAGCTTTTTATGCATGTAAACGGTCTGCAGAGTCACAAACCCTCAAAGTACACCCTGTAGCGAGTACAACTCTAACACAGAAAAGGCCTGTCTATGCTGCCCCAGAACGCCTCGTTGGAGATTTCTCTTTTTCTTTCTGGTACCAAGTGACGTAACGACGACCCAAATGGACCCATTTGCGGAGCCGTCACGTCCGCGGAAGGGGTCGACCAATAATCGGCCTGGCCGGTATCGGCCTTTTTTTTAAATCAAATTGCCGATAAAACTTTGGCTCTGATGCGGCCGTTTCTCTGGCTGCAGTCACCACTCTGTGTACACGAGCAATGTCCCGCCCACAGCGCTATCTGATAGGCTATTACTGAAGTGTCAATCAACACTGAAGATTTTCCGGGCAGGAGCCAGCCAGAGAGGCGGGACCTTCTCAGATTACAGGCAGCCAGGTGCGAAAGAACGCAGACACAGACTGAAGCAAGCAGCAGCGCTGAGCGGCAGAGCCATACATGTGTTTCGAAGGTAAGTCAGTTGAAAGCCGAAGTTCAATAAACATCCCAATCCCCTATGCTAAAGACCTGGAAGACATTATCCAACATCTGAAATCCTCCTCCTGCTGCCTTGACATCATCCCGACAGGATTTTTCAAAACTGTTTTTCATTGCTTGGCCTCAGATATACTACACATAGTAAACAAGTCTCTTCAATCAGGTGTATTTCCACAGGCCCTGAAAACTGCAATAATTAAACCGCTCCTAAAAAAGCATAACCTAGACGAAACCATAATGAATAACTACAGGCCAATATCAAACCTTCCCTTTTTAAGTAAATTGATTGAAAAAGCAGTTTTTCAACAGTTGAGTAATTTCATGTTTTTAACTGACGGTTTTGATGTGTTTCAGTCGGGCTTTCGACCTAACCACAGCACTGAGACTTCACTTGTTAAGGTCTTAAATGACATCCATTTGAACACAGACAGTGGCAGAATATCAGTGTTAGTATTATTAGATCTCAGCGCTGCCTTTGATACTGTTGACCACAACATATTGCTAGACCGTCTAGAAAACTGGGTGGGAGTCTCAGCAACAGCTCTAAACTGGTTTAGCTCCTACTTGAAGGACAGAACAAACTTTGTCTCAATAGGCAATTACAAATCAACCCTGATAAATATGTCATGCGGGGTTCCTCAAGGCTCCATCTTAGGACCTTTGCTTTTTAATATTTATATGCTACCTCTGGCTGAAATTATTAAAAAGAGCGATCTAAGCTATCACATCTATGCAGACGACACCCAGATTTATTTAAAAATTACACCGGGAGACTACTCTCCGATTAGAACACTGAGCAAGTGCATTGAGCACATCACTGACTGGATGACTC